CAGACATGATGGTGTCACCAAGTGCGGTGCCTGTGAGCTTCTTCAATCATCAAGGCTTCAGAACCCTTGTGAATGGGATTAGTGTCCTCAGAAATGTGTTCTGAAGAAGCTTGCTTGCCCCTGCCATCCTGTGGAGACTCAGCAAGAAGCCATCATATATGAGAAAGTCCCTACCAGATTCCCAGTCTTCTGGTACCTTGCTCTGAAATTTACCACCTTCCAAAACTTTAAGCAATAAACTTGGTTTATAAGCCCCTTACTCAGGTGCAGTCTAAATTAATCAAGATTGGACAGTAGTCCTTAGATGCTTTTTAACTGATAATGTTTAAGGAAAAATTGGTTCATTTTTATTCCTGTCCATCCTAATTTGATAAACTGGATAAATGCCCCAATACCATTTTACTGCTTATTGATTTTAGAACCATTGCTGCAAATGAGAACTGGCTAGGTCTCCAGTAAACAACTGAAAACCAAATTAAACTATTGGTTACCTTCATTATTCTCAAAACTGTAGAAGTAAGAAATAATAGTTACGTAATTACTACAATTCTTGAAGCTTTTCACCAAAATCATGTGATGAAGTAGGAAAACTGCATAGTTCTCTAGATTTCGAGATAAGAATACAATTCAGATTCCCCCTACCCTGTAAAACTCCTAATCAAGTAGTGCTAGGAAGTCATCTTGGACACAGCAGTAAATGACTTTGAAGTCATTAATCTTTTATATAATTTTTTATCTTCCAACATAAACATGGAGTCACATTTTGCCTTTATGGGGGAAATTTGGTGTATGAATGCTTTGAGAAAAATGTCATGAACAAGATGCATTTATTCCTGATGTAGACTCAATGGGTCATTATTAAAATCAACCTCACAGGCTCACTCTCCTGCCACTGCTGTCAGATTCTCATTTAAAACACGGGCTATTTAATCCAGGCGATCACAAAGACTGCTAGAGGGTACACATAGTAAACTGTGTAAGGCACCCAATATGAGCTGTGATGCAGACCACTTTCCACCACAAGCAGCTTAGAAACAGGCTACAAGGCAACTGTAATCTATTCCCTATCCTTTTGTGTTGGAATTATACTCAACAGTTATGAGATGTCCCAACTGGATGCTCTTAGCTGCATATAATTTGAACAAGTGGAAACAACAGCAGAATGGTTTGTTTTGACTAAGGGAACTGGGAATGTGGGAAGCCCGAACTACTTGATGGAAGGCAGGGTGGCAAAGGGAAGTGATCACGTGGTAACAATATGCCCAGCTTCATCCAGAATAAAAAAGTACACCAGGTTAGACATTGTGAAGATAGCCAAGGAAGGGGATGGCAAAATCTGAACCCAGGCTCCCAAAAGGTGAAGGTAGGAGCAGATGTAGAAAGCTTAAAGGAGGGGAGAAAGGTTTTCTTCCCAAGATCAGGGGAAACAATCCACATGGTCCTAGTGCAGAAAATGAGAATAGGGGCTACTGGCTATAGTCAGGCAAAGCAGGCAAACACCAGAGACAATGACAAAAGAACACCAAGACAATTTGGCAATGACTGGCTGGGGTGGCAGTGTTGAGAGAAAAGAGGAGGAGCTGAAGCTCACAGGACAGTGGAAATGGTATGAGACACAGGGGGTGGGGCATTATGGAGGTGGAGGGGTGGGCTTTTTAGGGAATTGGGGAGACTGATGTTTTCTTGACACTAAAAATTTGAAGTAACAATGGAAAGCTAAGCAGGGCATGCAAAGCAAGTTTCAATTATGTTTGTGGAGACAAGGAGAGAGAGGTTAAGGCCAGAAATACAGTTTTATGAATAACATCCAAACAGGTTATTGTTGAAACCAGCAAGAAGTGTAAGTTATTATAGGAGGCTCAGCAGGTGAGACTGTCTCATTGACTGAATAAAATGTAAAAGAAGTTTATTTAGGGCAAACAGCTCACAGCACATGCAAATAGGACAAGCTAACTATATTAGCTCTGTTTAAATGGTATTAAAAATGAAAGCAATATATCATGCAAAATGCACCTAACAGTAAGAAATGGAAAGATTGGAAATGGAAAAAAAGGGCACAGGCACTTTCATTTTCAGGGAAGTATGAACTGAGAGAAGAGCTGAAATGCAAGGCAGGGACATTGTCAAGAATGAATAAGGCTGTTGAAGAATGGCAGACAATGATTCACTAGGAAATACAGCCAATTGTAGAATCTTATGAGCCTGGGAACACAATCTCAAAACACATAAAGGAAAAATTTGACAATTTCAAGGAGAAATTGATGCAATCTCCCACGGTAGAAGATTTTAAATTCTCTTTAAAATGGCACAAAGGAAAAATAAAAAAAAAGTTTAAAAAAAACTTCACATGTTATGGCTTCAATGGGTGAAAGGCACGAGAAAGGGAAGGGAAAGAGGAGAAGAAAAGAGAAGGGAAAATAAAAGTTAAGGATGAGAGGAAAACGGTGCCATTGAAGGACTGGCAAATCGGGAATAAAGGTGGAACCCCACAGATGGTGTAACAAAGAAGGTTATTGTTAAAAAAAAAAAAACCAAGTACCCTTCCTAGGGCAAGATCGCAGAGGAAGTATGATATGAGGGTGTGTGGGGCCCATGTTGGGAGAACCATGTTAGAATAACCCTCCTTTGATACAGATACAAAAGGAAGAAACATAGATGGGGATATTTTGCGATGGAGGGGAAACAAATGGGCAAGTTTATGGACCTTGATGTCTCTCGAAGGCAGGCCTCTGCTGAATACAAGGAGATGAGTCATCAGGGCACTTGCTATTCCCATCTAGTAGTGTCCATGCATGCAGATTTGGCAATTCAACTTTAAAATTCATGTCTGAGCAGAGGGCAAAACAGCTGGCAATCCTGGGGGAAGGCTGCTTTCTATGGAGGAGATACTATTTTCTTACAAGATGACAGCTTTTGAATAAGCAAAGGAGAAATGAATTTCAAGAACTATATGAAGCTAGTAGAATGTACAATACCTCTGAGATGATGCCAACAGGGCTGCCCCAACCACTGGAAGCATCAATGGACCCATCTGTATATGTGTTAGAATGTACAGGGCTGCCTCACCTGCCGGAAACATCAACAGACCCATCTACATATGTGTTTCTAGTGCTGCTCTTTACTGTGTGAGATAACTGGCTGTGGCCAGGAGCATGATGTTGCATTAGCCATAGAACTGGGAGCTTTGGCTGAATTGGTTAGATTTGCCTTAAAAAATTATATCTCATGGAGTTTTAAAAGTCAATCAAAGGGCAGCTGAAGTATAAGAAGGAAGAGGGATTTCACCTCACAGTGTCTTGTTTGTTCTGTGTGCCATGTGCTGCAGCCTGGTGAGTGGGGTTTACTTGACACAAGACCCTCCCAACTGGCTCTTCCAGATTGTAGGTGGACACCTTACCTCTAAATGAAGTGATGCCACAAAGAGAAATTACTACCCGCTGTTCCTCTCATTTGCAAAACATCTAGTACTGGCCACATTGTCCCTCAGAAATGGAAATCATTTAAATTAAGTACGACTTTATGGATCCCTAACATTTCTGCCCATATGTGGAGAGATGAGCACTTACTGCTTGCTCAGAATGCATTTCCTTAGTCTGAGGTAGGAGTGTGTCACATTTCTTACTTTGCCTAGAAATGCACTCAACCTTTTCCTCAGGGCTTTATGATGAAATGACAATTATCCAGTAGAATCCTACAGGACAGTCTCATAAAATACCCTGACAAGTCCATCTAGTATCATTTAGTTTTATAACCTCTAATGGCTACTTAGAATGTTTGCTAGAACTGCCTTTCTAGGAAATTTCAAAGCTACTGAAAATTCCAGTCATGGTGAGGGCTCATCATTAGCTTTGGCTTCGGCATCTAAACACTGTTGGAACTCAGAAGAACTCTTATGTCTCATGGAAGGAACAAGCATGGCAGTCTTGTGGCCATGGACTCTAACAGCTTGTTTGGCATCCCTATGCCAGATGGCAGGGTATGCACTTGGACATATAGATATTCAGGAATTAGAGGTGTCTCCAGTTTCTCTGTTGTCATCCCAAGCCTGGAAGCTTCTGGAAGCCTTGATTGACAAAGGTATGTAGATGTCTTCTAAGAATGCCTTGCTTACTGAACATGTTAATTTCATTTAAACATTTGGTTGCCTTCATTACCATCTCAGTTGATCTTTGAGAATTGTTCGTTTCCTGAGAGCCTGATGGGAATCTTCCCAGAGTGGGAAATTCACTGTCAGTTTGGATAAGACAACTGTTGAATAAAAATGCTTCCCACAGTGACTATCACTGGTTTTTGCATCTCATTTCCTCATTATTCACCAAGTGAGTCTCAACTTCCTCAAGTGCAAGGTAAAGGTAAAGCACCATTTATTGCTCTTACTGGGAGAGTTGCAAAGATCACCTGTGTTAATAGACAGGAAGACTCAGCTCTTTGCCTGGCTCCTTAGTATTGGCTCATGTGATTTCTCTTTACTCTGCCAGAGAGTCTCCTGTTACTCCACATTTGGAGAACACTTTGAACTGACAAAAGAAACTTGTAAGCAGCATCTAGACAGCACTCTAGGAACTTCACAGAGATGTTCCAGAGCTTCTGAGGTACTTGATATGTTTTCTATCTGTACAATTTAACATACCAACTTGGACGCTGTGTCACTAAAGATGTGGTGACAAGAAACACCTAGTGACTCTCAGCTTACAAGCAAAGTGTAACCCACCATTAAGATAGGCTCAACTGAACATCACCAGGAGGAAACCAATTATATATTCTTCATGGCTCATTTGGTTGAAGTATTTAGGTGAACTGAAAACAGGAAAAATGTGGGAAGCCTGGCTATGAACACTACACACACTTCATTAGAGCCAACACTGAAAAATCCGTGAGTTCTGGAGCCAGTGGTACCTCTGGAGGACTGTGAAAGTAAGGCCAGGAGGAGAAAAGGAAACAGGATGAAGCAAACATTTGGGAACATGGAGAGTGCCCTGCCACCTACAGGGTTGACATACCAGTTCCTTCTTCTTCATGCATTTCATGAGGATGATGAACAGGTGCTGAGCTTGGGTGCGAGTGTACGTGAAAGTCTTCTGGATTGTCACCAAGAGCTGGTCCCTCAAAGATTCATTGATAAGTCTGCAAGGAAAACCAAGGCCAATCAGGTCAACAGAACTCCTAGTCAGTGTGTGTGTGTGTGTGTGTGTGTGTGTGTGTGTGTGTGTGTGTGTGTGTGTTTTGTTTTATCTTAATTTACACATAATTGCTAATAGTTGATAGGGTGAAGTTTCAATATACTAGGGACTATGGGATAATAAAATCAAGATATTTACCACATCTTGCACCTTATATTTATCATTTCTTTGTTGTGATAACACTCAAAACCCTTCCTTCTAGCTATTTCAAAATACCCAACACAGTGTAGGGTATTTCAAAATAGCCTACAGTGCAGCTGGAACACTATGGAACATGAGAGAGCACTGAGGATTTATTTTTAATCAGTTATACTTCTTCCTATGTTTCCCCCACAATATCTGTTGTTTTGAATGTGATAATTTACAAAGTAGTGCATTTAAAAATAAATTCAAGTCTCAGAACCTCACAGGGTGAAATTGGAAGTGGACTTAGTTACTTGTTACCATTTTCCCTTACCCGTAGTCATGTGTTTAGTGCCTACTACCTCAAATTCTGCTATTAAAGATGCCTTCAATTGCATTATCTACATTTTGGAAAGGGTTTGCTGTGTCATTTCCCCACAAACTGTAATATTATAACTAATTATTGGAAGAAAAGTTACATCTCAGCAACACAGTTTTCAGCATCCATTTAATACATGGACATCAGTAAAATGCTTATTATACAAATAGGAAGACTGGAGTTTGATCCCCAGCACCCTTGTAAAAGCTAGGTGTGGTACACACCTTTGTAATCCCAGCACTGGAAAGGCAGACACAGAAGAATCCCAAGGGCTAGCGTAATCAGCAAGTCCTAGGTCCCAATGTGAGGCTGTCTACAAAATGAAGGTGGGTGGCTCCTCAGGAGTGACACTCCAGGTTGACCTCTGGCTTCCACATACACATGTATGTATACACAGACACACATGTGCACATGTATTCCCTCACAGAAACAGGCACCCCCCCAAGTGGAAACAGGAGTTAGGTTACTACTTTAAGAGTTTTAATTTGTTTTAAAAATTAAAAAGAGGTTTTACTCTTTTTTTTTTTTTTGTAGTGAGCCAAAGTGGGATTGATAAGCAGCATTCCCAACCTTAAAAAGAGGTTTTACTCTTTTTTTTTTTGTAGTGAGCCAAAGTGGGATTGATAAGCAGCATTCCCAAAGCTCAGTACTGTTTACTTCAGTGTGCCCCATCAGTGCACACTCAGGTCTCAGCTACTAAATCTTAATTCCTCTCACCAGCCTGGTGAGAAAGGCATCTGTCAGCCATCAAATGGCAAGGGCGTGAAAATGTATTTTGCTATGAAGAGATAACTGTTCAAAATTGGGAGGATGAAAATCTTTTTGAAGACACTGGTAAAATAATATTTTCTGCCTAACACTTGTACATTTTATACATTACACATTGCTTTCATTACTGAGGTATCAGCAACTCCTAGATAAGATAAGAAAGAATATTATTTCATTTCATACTGGCAGGAACCCCATAGGCTAAAGATTTGCTTAATTTTTTTACTTGGTATTTCTCCTTATATGAAATAATATGAAATAGGCAAGCTCAAAGGAATAGAAAGTTACTAGACATTGTGAATGACCATGGAGAAAGGTTAGAGTGCTTGCCTGACATTCCCAGGGTTTGATCCCCAACACTGTATTTTTGCTTTGTTTGGTTTTCAGGAATTGTTATTGGCTATGCATGGTAGTGCATGCCTGTAATCCTGCACTTGGGAGAGAGACATTCCAGACCAACCTGGTCTATACAGTGAATTACATGCTATATTGAGAGGTTGTGTCTCAGGGAGAGGGAAGAAATTAGTGTTAGTTCTATGTAAGAAGTCAATAGATAGATGAACCAGCTGACTCAGTGGGTAAAATCTCCTGCCACCAAGCCTTTCAACCTGAGTTCACTCCCTGGGACCCAAGTGGTGGATAGAAGGAATGGCTACCTCCATATATACATTGTATGTACACACACACACACACACACACACACACACATTGTACCCACACATGCACACAAAACAAGTGTAATTTTAGATAATCTTTCATTCCTAGCTCTTATAATGGTAAAAATATAAACAATAGCATTAAAAATCCAACAGATAAAGGGCTACATATTCTCTAACATTCTCAGAATTCTCAAAACTCCAGGGGATCCTCTCCTTCCATCTTGTTTGGGCAGGGTTCCTCTGGTTTCCTCTACTGTGCTGTATGCTTCAAGTGTAGCTGGCCCAGGAGCTTCTGGCCACATCTCCCCATAGAGATGCTGGAATTCCAGATGCTAACTAAAACTTTTTGTGGAGATCTAGCTGAGCATGCCAGGCTTGCAGAGAGGCACTTTGAACATTGGGAACCATCTCCTCAAGCTCCCAAAGTCACTTTTTAAAACCAGTCTCGAGTCTGAGTGAAAACACACATATACGATAAAACTAAAGGCTTCAGTTAAGTCCCTTTACCTTACATACACTACAGAAGAGCTAATATTTATGAATGGCATTCCTCATAGTGTTCCAGTATAGTGTTCATCCTAATTACAGCGCACCCTTTCACTGAAGGGAACTCGTGCAGTAATTTGTATGGTCATTTCACTTGGGACTCTTTGTTTGATAGATTCTGCACTTGTTTATATTTCATTTCTTTCTCACTAGCTCTGAGGTATGCACATGTCTTTCTGTCTTTTGTTTGCAGCTGAAGAACCCACCTCTAAAGCCCGACTGACAGAAGTCCAGTATAGCCTCAGGGACACAGTGACATTGGTTGGGAATTTGTTACAGTCCAAACATTCTTCTGAGACATTTATAAATGTATTAACTCATGTAATCCTCAAAAAAAAAAAAATGCTAGAAGGAAAAGCTCTTGTAGGCGAGAACGTGGTCCATGTGTTAAGTCTGTTTCTTCCCAGTCTCCTCTTGAGAGCTGACTTTCTAAGCACTGCTCAGGTCCAGGTCCATCGATGCCACAGGTCTCTAATGCACCCTTCCCAGCATCTCAAGATGGCTGCTATAGCAGCCTAACTGTCTGCCACCAGTTTCACCTTGCCCCAGTCTGTTCTCTACCCTGCCAGTGGAACATTGTAGAAGTGGGACTTGCTGGTACAAAGACCAAAACAATCAAATGGCACTGCTGCCCTGAGGGTAGCATCTGTTTCTCTCAGCTTTGCCTTGCTTCCTTTTCCATACAGCTTCAGAGATTCAGTTCATTGTCATCACGGTGGGGAACATGGCAACATGCAGGCAGATGTGGAGCTAGCTACATTTTGGCTTGTAGGCAACAGGAAGTTGACTCAGATTTGCTTAATTTTATAAGCATGGATTTTAGCCAGACTAAGCCCAAAACTTAGATCCACACAGTCAGTAAGCAATGACAATAGCTGAATCCAGTGCTCTCTTCCATGCTATGATGCTGCCTCTCTGTGCAGCATGTGCTCCACACTATTGCCTCTCTTCAATGCTGTGGCCACTACAGCAGACAGCTGTGAGCCTTCCACAGGAAAGCAGGGCAAGAATCTTGAGAATACCTTTCTATGAGTGGCCTGCTATGCCCCAGATAGGCATGGTTCCCATGAGCACAGAGGGCTGTTCACTGTGGTACCCTTCCTTTGAAAAAGGTGTAAAGTCCAAGGATCCTGAAAGCTCGTCATCTGAGGATCAGAAGGTTGGGTCAACTTACATTCACTCCTCCCTCAGGAAGAATACATGTGTGTCAAAAGACATACATGCTTACAGAAAAGAAGGCTCAGATGAGGATGAGAAGTGACATCTCAAATATTCTCCTGATATTATGTAATTCTGGATGGCTCAATGGCCTTAGCACCAAATCAGCTTGAAATCTTCCATATGTTCGCCTGTCTATCCATCCACCCACCCATCTATTCATCTATCTATCCATCCACTCTACCACCCACCCACTCACCCACCTACCAACCCATCCACCTTTCTGTCCATCCACCATCCATCCATCTACCACCCACCCATCCTACCATCCATCCATCCATCCACCCACCCATCCACCATTCACTCATTTAGAAAATTCATATGGATGTCTGCTTGGTGGTAGACACTGTGGTATGTGTCAGGGATATATGGATAGATGCAGTATGGTCACTCTTAGCCCTCAGTGGAGTAGAAAGACATCAATTAGGCATTCAGCCACAACTGTCAGTGGTAGAGAAGTAGAGGAGCTGGTGAGAGTGACTTGGTGAAACCTGAGGAGATGGAGCTTTACCTGATACCTGGAGAGGAGCACTAGAAAGGGTTGAAGATGATAAGGATGGGAAAGAACAGACAAAATGGCAATGGATAGGCTTGGTTTGGAGAAGAGAGAAGAGGGCCCTATGGGTAGAGCTTGTGAGCACTATAGTTTAGATACAAAATGACCCCTAAAGGTCTCTCTGATAAAGGTGTGGCCTCAGTTTAGTGCTAGTGGGAGTTGGTAGAATCTCAAAGAAGTGATTTGAATGAAAATGTCCCTTACAGGCTCAGCTGTCTGAGCACTTGGTCCCCAGTTGGTGCCTGTTTGGGTAGGTTTAAGGGTCATGGGGCTTGCCAGAGGAAGTATGTCACCAGGGTTGGATTTTGAGGTATCAAGCCACATCCTGCATGCTGTCTCTGCTTCCTGCTTGTGACTTAAGATGTGAGCTTTTAGTTTCAGCTCCTGCTGCCATGTCTGCTGTCTGCTGTCTGCTGCCTCCTCCCTGCCATGGTGGACTCTTAATACTTTGGAACTGTAATCTTCAAATAAACCCTTTTCTTCTATAAGTTGCCTTGGTCCTGGGGATTTATCTTAGCCACAGAAAAGGAACTACTATGGAAACACTGCTTAAGGTTTTGAGATGCTGGGAGTGTGCCCTCAAGGGGATCTAGGCTGTTTCATGTCCCAGTCAGGTTAGATGGCTTTGATCTGTTCCATGTCCCTGCTAAGATCTGTCACCACACCAATGAGCCAATTATTTATACATTCAAATG